AAGCTCTAAAGGTATCAAAGTTGCGTTTTTTTAAATGGAATGTCCTGTATATTATTGCATTTTTGGATTCGCTGAACAAAATAAGTGTCTGTTTTTTTAAATAATACGAATTTAATCAAAATATAATTTAATTTTCACGTGTCAAATACTTTAGTATTTGACACGTGAAAGTGATAAGTATTTAAGTTATGTTAGCGTAATTTATAGTGAAGTGTAACAAGATATGATATTTTATATCCCAATGATAATAAACTTACCATGTATACAGGGTGTCCACAAATTTAAACTAATGAAATAAGAACTTTAAGTGGCTCTAAGTTGATTAATTTAAATACAACCCCATATTTTTTAACTTACCAGGAAATGCTATTTTTAATTACCTATCGAATGGTATTAGGACGTTAATAGCTAAGTTTTCGCCTTTTTACAAAATACGTCAAATAGTCGTTCTGGGCACCATTTGGTGTTGTTTAATTTAACGTTCCAATGGATCTAAGTTGCCTATGCCATTTACACATGTCAAATCATTTATGTTATTTTTCAGTTTAGACTGCAAAGTATCTTTTTGATAGCTAGAGTGGTATTGTTTTTTGTAATTGTAGACGTGTTGGTCGTTATTTAAATATTACTATTGTGTTGCTAAGTGAAACTGAAGAATTGTCCAAGAGAAGAGCGTATTGACCTGATTTTCACTCTGGGAGAATCTCATAAAAATTGTTTATTGCCTTCTGGAGTTTATGCTCAAAAGTTTCCTGAAAGAAATCATCCTGAGCCAACAGTTTTTAAGCGCTTATTACACCAATTTGAGGAAACTGGGAGTGTCAATTATAAAAAACCCATTACAAGGAAATCGGTCACTGAAGATGAAGAAAATGTTTTCGCGGTAATTGGTTCCGTTATCGAAAATCCCAATGTTAGTAAAAGCCTAATATCCAAAAGTACTAACATTCGTCAATCAATTTCCAGAATTATCAAAAGCACACCTTTATCCTTATAAAATACAGCTTTGCCAAGAACTTGATGGAAATGATTTTGAAAACCGAACTGAGTTTTGCATGTGGGTGTTATATAAAGTGGCAGAAAATGAAAAGTTTTTCGAAACTGTGTTATTTAGTGATGAATGTATTTTAATTACAATGGTCTCTTGAATAGACACAACTTTCATTATTATTCTGATACGAATCCGGGCGCATACAGGTTCATGAAAAATCAAAATAGGTGGTCAGTTAATGTGTGGGTGGAATAATGGGCCAATATTTAATTGGACCCTATTTTTTGAAGGACATCTAAATGGTTTGATGTTTCTCCAGTTTCTAATACACCATCTCTAAATATTATTAGAATAAGTCCCTTTCAATATTAGAATCAACATGTGGCTTCAATTGGATGGAGCTCCGC